ACTACTTTTATTCATGTATCAATAGCCTGCACATTACCTTGCACAGAGTTTACTATGTAACTGACAAATTAACTTTGAGATTAGGGAAAAAATGCTAGAATGCAAATAAACCACAGCACAAAAGAACATGACTTCTAAACCACTCAACCCCATCAATTCTTCTAATTCTACTAATCTCCACTAAGAACTGCTCAATCTTTTCTTCTTTGGCTCATGCACTAATGGGGCACATCCCTCAATAAAATTGGATTGTCAATGTTTGTCTGAGACCAAATTACCTCAGGCAATACTAAAACCTTTTGTTCATTTATTAAAACTATTTTGTACTAGATTAAGTGATTTCATTATCCTTTGGATTTAACTAATCCATTTCTAGGTCTGGCATTTTATCAGGAAACAGTAAGATTTTTCATTCAAAATAAAGCTCTCTCAAATTAACCTTTCAAGGCTTCTTGATTATATTATTAGGTCTTTCATAACAAAAAAACAGTGATGTAACAGAAGCTCTTAACATTCAATTTTCTTTTGAAGGGGGAGTACTGGGGATTGAACCCAGGGCCTCTGCATTGAGCTATATCCCCAGTCCTTTTTCTATTTTGACATGGGGTTTTGCTCATTTCCCCAGGCTGAGCTTAAGGCTCACCTCCCTGAGTGCTGACATTATAGGCATGTGCCACCACTCCAAGCTCTCATACAAAATTTAAAACCAAAGAAAAGTTTACTGAAAATATAGATTATTTTCTCTATTACCTACCTGGCTGCTTTTGTATAATCAATCTTAATTGTCAATACCTAATGAAACAGCTAAAGAATTAAAAGTGGTTGCCTCAAGAAAGCAATTTCAAAGAGACAAGGGAACAGGGCAGTGGATTATCAATTCTCACTATAATCAGTTGACAATTTATCGGCGTTAATTCCATATTTAAAGCAAAATTTAAAACACAATTGTGTGGAAACTGAGGTAGTAGTTATAAGAAACAAACAAACAAACAAAGGAACCCTTTTGTCAACCCTTACAACCATAGTTCTAAAGGCTGCTTATACAATGCCATGGACTCATGATGAATCTCTGGGCAATCATTTATCCACGTGGAGTTTCAGTCCCACATCTGTTAACTTGACAGTAAATCAGAACATCAAGGCCTTTTCAACAGTAATATTCTAGTATTCTAAAACTTCAGTGCTTAATAAATGGCAGTGCACAATTTAAAGAGGAGAAATGCATCTGTGAGATAAAAGGCAAATTCACCAAGGCTTGTTTTGTAATGGACAGTTAATGAAATTACAGTGATCACAGTAATTTTAGGATGACTCTTAAAAGAGTTAGTGAAAGAAGATAGGGGTATTAGGGAATCTATCTCTGTTGATTAGACAGCTTCTTCGACATAAAGTATGCATGACCCAAACATTAATGATACATTTGAGGCCTGTGGGAGCAGTGTGTGCTAAGTGTCACGTAACGGCTCCTGCTCGACTTAGTCAAATGTCACAACCTGCCTTTTCCTGCAGACTGTGCACAGGAAGAAACCAAAGGCCTGAACTCAAACTTACTGACACTAAAGGATAAATATGCACATCCACACTTACAGCTAAATAGGAAAAGGGATCTGACACTTATTGTACGGCTCTTGAGAGTGCTCAGAAGAGCTCTAGCAGATCTTTCAGTTTAAAAAGATTATGCATTTCAGACTAATCTTAACTTAAAGACCTTCAAATTTAAAACCCAGCATCATATCTACTTTTAAAGGACAAGAGCAAAAAGTGAACCGGTTCTTAAAAAAGCTGTACATACAGATCATTACAGAAGTGTCCATAGTAAGTACAAATGTCATGAACTGGACTTGTAGGAAAGACTGTCCAGCATACAAAAAGGTTTTTCTTTTTGTACAATTGACCATTCTGTTTGCATCATATTTCCTCTTGCATTGTAAGCACCAAGTAAATGAAACAAAAAATTAATTGAAATAACTAATTTATGTGTATGTATTTTTCAACACAATATAATGTATAATCCTAAAATCATAGAATCAGAGAATTTAAATTGGATGGAATCAAGGGATATTAGTTAGATTACTGATTTATTGTTTAAATTATCTCCCTTTAATCAACTTGAGTCATGACAATGTTCTGTGGGAACTTTGGAGCAGTACTTTAAAAATTATGCATAAAACAGGTATGGTGGGTTATGTCTATAGTTTTAGCTACTAGAGAGGCTAAAGCAGGAAGATTAAGAGTTTGAGGCCAGCCTGAGCAATTTAGCAAGATCCTGTCTCAAAATAAAAAAATAAACAAGGGCTAGGGATGTAGATCTATGAAAGGGTGCCCTTTGGATTAATGCCCTAGTACCACAAAAATCATTCAGTCAATCAATAAAATTATAATTACTTAATTCAAATAGAATTCTATGAAAATTTAAAGTTCACATTACAATAAGATTCCTAATAATGGAAGAAAAAAGTAATTAAAAATCTATTAAAGATAGTACATGAGAGGAACTCTGCCTGTCTTGGTTACTATACCATTTTACAAAGGAAGAAAAAAGGCTAAGTAATTTACCTACAATCACACAGTAAGAAGCAGAGCTGACATTCAAAACCTATATAACATTAAATTTCAATGTCTTTTTTTCTCCCCAGTTCTGGAGGATTGAACCCAGAGGTGCTCTACCACTGAGCTACATCCCCAGCTTTCTTTTTCATACTGGGGACTGAACACAAGGCCTCCTCATTTAGCTACATCCCCAGGCGTTTAAAAACATTTTTGAGACAGGGCCTTACAAAGTTGCTAAATTGCCTAGGCTGGTTTCCAACTTGCCATTCTCTTGCCTCAGCCTTTCAGACTACTGAAATTACAGGCATGTGCCACGACACCTGGGAACAGTTCAAAGGTTTTTTTGTTTGATTTTTGTTTTTGAGACAGGGAAAGGCTATACAGTTCAGGCAGGCTTTGAACTCACTATGTAGTCCAGGCTGGCCTTGAACTCGCAGTGATCCTCCTGCCTCAGCCGCCTGACTGCTGGGATCACAGGCATGCGTCATTATGCCTGGCTTTTTTTGGGGGGGGAGGGTTGTTTTTGAGACAGCATCTTGCTATGTAATTCAGGCTGGCCTGAACTCACAACAATCCTCCTGCCTCAGCCTCCCAAGTGCTGGGATCACAGGTGTGCACCACCACACCTGGCATTTCAAGATCTTAATCACTACTCTGTTCATGATTCTCATAGAATAGTCTACAGATCACCTGGGGCGTGCTTAAAACTGCAGACTGCAAGAGCTCACTTCATACCTCTCAAATCGCAAATCTTTAGGAATGGTTCTTAGGAATCTGCATTTTCCCACAATCTTCTAGGGTTTTACAATGAAATTTAAGAACCACTGTTCTAAAAATGAATTTCCCAAGTATCCCATTACAACTAGCTGACAGTTACTGAGCTCTGCCACATGCTAAGCCTTATGTTGGATGCTAGGTAGATGAAATACAAGAAGCCAACCATCTATAAAGGAAGAGAGATATGCAAAATGACAACTTCACGACCCCTGTGGTATATTCTGTGGGATTTGAGACCACAGGAAAAGTGGGTTATAAACATAAAGGCACCCAAAGAATATGCCCTGACATACAAAAACTATCATAGAGTGAGTTTAGAGAACAACCTAGCCCCATGGGGGTGGCAAGGACAATGTATGAAGGATGAACTTTGCAGGGCCAGAGTGGAGGCAAAAACAATCCTGCACAAACACCAACCTCTCAACTGAAAAATATGAAACAGTCCATACCACCTAGGTTGTCCTATTCATGGGCACACAGTTGTTTGCAACATTACCTTTTAATTTTTGTAAGGTCTTCTTTTATTCTTTTTTTGGTACCAGGAATTGAACTCGGGACCTTGCACTTGGCAGGCAGGCAGCAGAACCACTGAGCTAAATCCCTGGCCCTTCTCTTTTATTCTTGATTTTAGTATTCTTTGGTTTTTGATTAATCTACATGATGTTTGTAGAACATCATCCACCCTTAATCCTAACACCCTTAATCCTAGCATTGTGCCATGAATCAAAAAATGCAAACTAATGCTGTACTCATATTCTGGTGCTCAAATACAAAATATTTCTTCTACTACTTCATTGCCTCTTGTGGAAAGTTATCTGCAAATGTTACAGTTAGTTCCTTTTTGCCATTTTGAGATGAAGGCTATTGTGATGAGACCGAGAACACAGAATTTTAACTACTTTCTTATGTTGTACTGGTTGCAAATTTATACCAAAGTATGAAGAATACCAGCTGCAAGCTGTGACAAGTCTTTGTAACTAAAATCCTAGGTGAGGATACTAGGAATCTAAATTGTATGTTTTAATACTATGATGGACACATTTTAGAAGTTTTCATTTTGTGTGGAATTAGAGCTCCCTCTCCAAAGTAATATGTAACATCATTTAAAATAAAACCTGAATAAAATACAAAAGAAACAAATGGGAGAGGAAATGGTAGGAAGTTACAATAGTCCAGAAGTGAAAGGATGAATGGAGAAAACACAACAAAAATTTTAAAAAGTCATCAAAAACAACAAACAAAATGTGTATGCATATATAATTAAGCTACTAATTTTAAGCGAAATACATCCATTTTTAACTCTTAGTCCAAATGATATCTCAACCAAAGCATTCAATCTTGACTTAAGAAAGTGCTATAAGAGAGTAAGGGATTTAGCTCAGTGGTGCTGCCACCTGCCTTGCAAGCTCAAGGTCCAGAGTTCGATCTCCGGTACCAAAAAAACAAAACAAAACGAAACAAAAAACACCCCCCCCCAAAAAAAAGAAAATGCCATAAGAGCAGAATAAAAAAAATACTGGAAAGACTGGCCACTCTGGAAAGGTTAATTTTGAGAATGTGTTCCTGAAATTTGGTATATGGCTCATTTTGAATACAAGATATGATGTGAGTTATGATACCCTAGCATTTGGGTTATCAATTGCTTGTGGAGAACACAAGAACCATATGATTACCTGATAGCCTTCTGTTTTTTTCTGGCACCACTTCAACAAGGCATTCCTCTTCGATCCTCCATATTCTCTTGCCAATGCTGAGAGAGGGTCTTTCCTTTCTTCTCTGGTAAGTGAAAACGAGAAGCCCAAAGATGAAATATTTTGTATTTGAGCACCAGAATATGAGTACAGCATTAGTTTGTATTTTTTGAACAGGATAAATGCCATTTAACAGCAAGATATATCTTTTCCTTCATTTGATTTTTACCTATTTTTAGTTTATGGTCCTGTAGACCTGCAGCTGTCAGGGGCTTCTGATATCTGAAGGGAGAGACTCTACTCACCTTACAGATGGAAAGAGGAAATATTCAGTACCAAGTGCATTCACAATTAATAGGATGCATTCCATGGTGCTAGAAAGTGGGAGACAACCTTATATTGGTGGCATCTAAAATCACCCTGGCTGCCTTTCATTCAATGTTTTATCCTTCCATTACCTTTGTAGTTTGGTTTATTTTACTCCTTTTTATTTCCTTAATCATCTTGTAATTTTTTGGATCCCTTACTATAAATACAAAGGGCAAGATTATTCAAGGTGGAGGATTCTATGATTTAACTCCTAGTTTCACGGGGCTCACAACTGGGGGAAGCAGGGCCAGGATTTAGCTCAGTGGTTTTGCTGCTTGCTGCGCAAGCACAAGGACCTGAGTTCGATCCCCAGTACCAAAAAAAGAAAGACAATTGGGGGAAGCAGATTAAGGAGACAAAAGATGGTAACATTAAAAACATTTATCACTTCCATAAAACGTCTCAAGTGTGTTCATTGCTCATCTGTATACTTTTTTTTTTTTTTTTGAGACAGGGTCTTGCTATGTTGCCCAGATTGGTCCAAAACTCCTGGGCTCAAGTGATCTCCTGCCTCAGTCTCATGAGTGCTGGAACTACAGGTCCATGCCACAGTTCCCAGCAAGTTGTGTACTCTTTGTCTGTAGGCAGTTAGAGCTTTAACTTAACAGGAAATGGAAATTTTCTTTAACTCACTCACTCACATCCAATGTCATCTTGTGTGGAGCAGCAATGTGCCAGTGAGTGTCCAAGTGCTGGACAATCAATGGTGAACACAGGATCCCTGCCCCCTCATGGAACTTTAGAATTTACTATACAATGGAATAGTGAAGCATGGGTAAAAAAAATTCAATGGCTGGCCTGGGGATGCAACTAAGTTGTGGACTGCTTGCCCAGCATGCACAGGGCCCTAGGTTTAATCCCTAGCACCACCAATAAATGAATGAATGAATGTAATTCATTTCAAAAATTCTACGTAAGGGGTATTTTATGCCATAGTTAATTGCCTTATAGACAGAATAAATATCTTTCCCCACAACAGACAGTGAAATAAAAAAGATTCTGCAATCACTCCTGGTGATGAGGCAAAGGGGACATACAACTCTACTCATTCTGTATTAAATCCTTCCTTTCAGTAGCTACTCTGGAAGCAGAAAACTAAAGAGTATGTAGAGAAAGACATTGCTTTGTAACACATTTATTGACAAGTAGCCTGTTCTTTAAAAATTGGTCTGTTTTTTAGTGATTATAAAGCAAAGCAAAAACTCTAGCCACATATTCCACAAACTCAGCACACCAGTAAATGTTCCAGAGGTAATATTAATATTCCTCAGCATATTTATTGTCAGTAATCATCTTTCAAAGTATGCTATGAAATTAAACAGGATGCATTTAGAACTGAAGTTCTTCCAATGGAGAAGTGCACTAAAACAGTACCAATTTTCATTTATTTTAGAATCAAAGCAAAAATAACAAATTTTTTTCAATGTGCAGTGAGATTGCTACCTTGAAGAAATATACTTTTGTGCTTGTATGTCAGTACATCAGAATTTTAATGTGTAAGAGACTCGAAGTTTGTTTTAATATCACTATAAATAGAAAAAGAGAATAAAGACATGAAAATGAATACAAAAGGGAAAAAAGGCCAAAAAAGAAAACAGAAAAACTGTCATGCTAAACATAAAAGTAACTATTACAATAAATTGAAAGGTTTACTCTTGCTCTTACAGGGTTTGTTTTGCTACAGAAATAGCTTTAAAAGCATCAGAATAAACTCTTGGACACAACGAGAAGCTGCTAAAGAGTCCCCTGGAGCTAAAGGGTGATTTCTTACTACTTCATTCTAAGATGAAGAAATTAGGGCCAGGAGATGCCACGTTGAAGATCACAGCTCCTAAGTTGGGGAACTGAGAGGAGTAGGTGTTGTGTCTCCCAGTTAGTGCCCTCTGCACAGGCACAACACGGGGAGACTTTCACACAAAGAGGAGCACTGACAGTCCCTCCCCTGCAGAGTGGCCTAGGCTCCTTCATCCTTGCACTGCCAATTTGCTCATAAGATGAAGTGCTATGGGACCACTAATCTCAGAGGTTGGGCCCCTTCAAGTGGCACTTTAAAAGTTCATAATTTGAATTTGAGAGGGTAAATTCTTCATTTTATCATTAAACCTAGAAATTAACATACAGTTGAATTTCTGAAACTCTTTACTATCCCTTTCCATTCTTAATACTTACAACAATTTTTCTTTATCCCTAAAAACAAAGCGCTAGATTTCTAACATTTATCAATTTCCTCTAAGTTCTTAACACTTCCCAGTCTAAAGTGGTTTCTGACATAACTCTAACTAAAATATAAACTTACATTTTCATGGATTGCTTATCATTATTAATGTAGCATCATGCTCCCCAACATTCAGCCTCAGCCTCAGCAGTTAGAACCACTTTTGATATTTTTCCCCCCATTCTCCCATTCCTGTGAGAAAAAAATCTGCTGTTGAAATTATCTTTTCTTTTGAAAAATCTCCTGAACCCAACCATCTTCAGCTCTTTTCTGCTGTTATCTACCTGGTTCAGATTTGACAACTGTGTTCCAGACTAAAATAATAACATTTTAGCTGGTTTCCCCAACTTCTGTCCAGAATAGAATGGTACCTTAATCATTTTCTCACACAAATTTATTTACCCTACTTTATTGCTTCTACCAAATTGGAGTGACTCAATTTGACTTTAAACAGATTCTACCATACCTTGCTAATCTATCTTTTTTTTTTCCTTTTTTTAAAAATACTGGGGACTGAAGCTAAGGCATTGCACTGAGCTACAACCCAGCCCTTTTTCTTTTTTCAGACAGGGTCTTGCTATGTAGTTCAGGCTGGCCTTGGACTCATTATGTGGCTTAGGTTGGCCTCAAACTTGCAGGGATCCTTCTGCCTCAGTCTCCTGAGTACTGGAATTACAGGTATGTGCCACTATGCCGAGCTAGCACTATCTATCCATCTATCTCTCGATTTATCTATCTATCTATCTATCTATCTATCTATCTATCTAAATTTTACAACAGCATCTCAGCTCTTAAGTTGCTCAGGCTTGGCTTGAACTTGTGATCCTCCTCCTGCCTCAGTCATGGCATGTGCCACTATGCCACCTTAGGTATTTAATCTTGTCTTCTACTGCCCCCTAATATGGTAGATACAACCTTTGCTGGTCCCTAAATCTGCAGTACCCTCTACTCACTGCATGCCTGACCCCTCACTTATTCACCCATTTTGTGTATTTACTCGTTACTCACTTCTCTTATAATGCTCCCCCCAACCCATCTGAAACCCTCAACGTCCTGCTGAAATTCTTTTTTTTTTTTTAATTTTTATACGTATATATTTTTTGTACTGGGGATTGAACTCAGGCCCTTGCACTTGTACAGCAGACGGCAAAACCACTGAGCTAAATCCCCAGCCTGAAATTCTATCTTTATAGGAAACCTCTAACATTTCACTCACACCCCACAGTGTTCAAATTTCATAATGCAGGCTGAGTGTCTCTTATTTCAAATGTTTTGGATCAGAAGTATTTCAGATGACAGAGTTTTTAGGATTTTAGAATATTTGCATAGGCTTCACTTGCTAAGCATCTCTAATTCAAAAACCTGCAATCCAAAACTTTTGGAACACGATTTCTACACTTCAAAAGTTTTGCATTTCAGATTTTCAGATTAGGGACGCTCAATCTATACTTACTTTTGTACTCAACCATTCTCCAGTGAAAAATAAAAATACTCAAGTGCTTAAGGAAAGGAATTGTCTCTCTTATTCTGTCAGTATCTTCTATATCACCTGCCCAATTCTACTCAGAGAAGAGATGAATCAACACTTACTAATACAAAAAGAAAGAGCAAATGTACTGTTCAGATGCCGTTATTTACAAGCTCATCATTTACTCTTAAAAGCTTGGGAAGGTACCCATGAAATGCACCAACATTAACCGTTCTCTACCTTATCCGGCTTCGAGTGGTTGGGGTCACAGATGCTGTGGGAGAGGAGGACAAGGACAGCTGTGGTGATGTGGTTCCCATAGCCATAAGAGAGGCTGGCGACGCTCCCTCAGGTGCAGAGATGTCCCGTTTTATTTCCTCACTACTTCTTCGAGACACTGATTATAAGAACAGTCATTATACATTTTATAGCAAAAATATTTCTTTATTTATTTTGGTACCGGGGATCGAACTCGGGTCCTTGCACTTGTGCAGCAGGCAGTGAAACCACTGAGAGCTAAATCCCCAGCCCAAGCAAAAATATTTAAATCTCAATTCTTTTTTTTTTTTTTCTGGTACCAGGGATCAAACTCAGGACCTTGTGGTAGCAAGGCAGGCACAGTGCCATGGAGCTAAATCCCCAGCCCTAAATCTCAATTCTTAAGATATTTTCTTCTCAAGATTCCAAAGAGAACAAATATTACCTTATAGGAGGATAAGCTAGCACTTTCTTTAAATTAGTGATGATAAAAAGGATCTTAATTTTTCATGAAAAGTATCCGTGAAAGACTATGTATTTAGTGGAAATATGTACTGAATCCCACATTCCCTGTGGCGTGTCTTCTCCATCACTGTACCACTCATAGTATCTACCAAGCACACAGTGAGTACTGTATAAAAAAACCAGAGCAATATCTGGCACAGTTCGTTCCTGCCCAACACCTACAATTAAAATCAATACAACCCTTTAGAACTTAGCCAAACATACAGTAAAGAGGACAGAAAGGAAATAAGCTTCATTATAGGGCTACACATAATTCTGAGTCAGGCCACATTTTAAAAAACAAATCAGGGCCAGGGATTTAGCTCAGTGGTTCTGCCACCTGCCTTGCAAGCACAAGGTCCCAAGTTTGATCCCCGGTACAAAAAAAAAAAGTCAATGAGACAGAAAACAAAAAGGTATAAAGTCAACTACTGGGAAATAGCAACAATCTTTTAGGAAAGTCCTATTTTCAATGTCTGACATAGTAAGACACCGTATCTTGTTAGAATTACAAATCCCTGAGAACTGTTAAGTGGAAGCAGCCACTTTGCCCTCTGATAATAGCAGTAACAAAAACAGCTCTCAGCAAGATGGCATTGGGCAAATATGAGAAAAGGAAAAAATGAAACAAAGGGAGGTGTGGAGGGGTAGAAGGGAGGATAGGGGAATGAGGAAAAAATAAGAACCAAGATATATCATGTAAAGGTACAAATTCCCAATGATGAATGTCATCACATTGTATACCTAAAATGTACCAATAAATTTAATGAATTAAAAAAATAAAAATAAATTTTAAAAAAAGAGATGGTATTGGGTACCACACTGCCAGGTGCTGAGGACCTGGGCTGAGCACAGTTAAGAAGTGAGATACCAAACAAAGGCCCCAACTTCAGTCAATCCTTTGTCACCTCAGAAGAGGATAGAACCACAGAAGCCATTAACTACAATTCCTGGGCTGATCTTAATGTAACCAATGTTACACAGCAGTATTTTTTCTCTCTCATTTTTAAAAACTGTTTCCATTTTATTGTCTTAACACTCTGTTGATGATTTCAGGATAATAACAGCAGCACATAACAGGACAGATGCTTCCTTCTAGTATATAAACTTAAAATGAAATGCTGGCATATTTCAGGCATAATTTTCTAATTTTCTTTTTTGGGTTTGGTTCTTTTTATGTCTTAAGCCAGTAGTTTCTTTTCAGTGGTATGCTAGGAAACTGAATTTAAAAAACTCTCAAAATGGTATACGAAATAGAAGAAATGGACTGAGAAAGAATTTGAAGGACTCTGTTATAAGAAAAGCACATAGAAAAAGGCTTAGGGATGGTAATTTTATTTGATCACAGAATTTCTCACTATTTTAAAGACTTGTAACAGTATATAAAAAAACTGTACTAAGCCCTGACCCACAGAAAATACAAAATAAATGTATATCCTATTATGTTGGAAAGCAAAGCAAGCAAGCTGTACTTAGTTCACTCTATGTACAAGTGTGACATTAACTACAGCAAGACTGAGTTAAAGAGATTTCTCCTTTTGTAGTCATCCAATTTCTAGTTGACCTATTAAGTGTAAGTAAAGGCCACGAAGAAAAATAATATAAAGAATTGATAAAGTGAAGTGTTAACTCCAGATTACAAAGAAAGCTAATCAAATTCATCATTATAGATGTCTTTATGATTCTGGGAAGTTTAGTTTCCCTAAATATTTTTGATGCGCTTTGAAACAACCCTCCAAAATCAGTTCTGAGATACCTTAGGATAAATATTCTTTCTCAGCTCAATCAACTTTGTATGAACCTGTATTTTCAACATGTCATACAATACACTGTAAATATTTAAAACCTTCCACAGAAAAGTTTTTTTTTTGGTACCAGGGATCAAACTCAGGACCTTGCAATTGCAAGGCAGGCGGTGGAACCACTGAGCTAAATCCCTGGTCCTGGAGAAAATTTTTAAAAGAAAATCTCAGCTGGACTTGGTAACACATCTTGTAATCTCAGCTATTCAGCAGCCTGGAGTGGGAGGACTGCAACTTCAAGGCCAGTATGGGCAATTTAGTGAGACCCTGTCTCAAAAATAGAAAAGGAGCCAGGTGTGGTGGCATATGCCTGTAATCCCAATCCTTAGGAGGCTGTGGCAGGAGGATCGTTGTGATTTTGAGGCCAGCCTGAACTACATGATGAGACATTGTCTCAGGGAAAAAAAAGAAAAAAACCCCGCAAGCACAAGGTCCTGAGTTCAATCCCCAGTACCAAAACAAAACAAAACAAAAAACCCACTCAATCCACAGTAGAAAGAAAGAAAAAAAGAGAAAAAGAGAGCAGGGAAAGAAAAAGGGAGAATGTGAGTGAAGAAAGGAAACGAGAAAAGGAGAAAAGAAGGGAGGGGGGATTTCAGAACAAGTCATCACCTGAGATGGTCTTGGCACTTTCCATAGCAGACACTCTTGGGAGAGAAGCAGGTCGGCTGGTTGATGATGTTCTTAACAGATGTTCTGCATAGAGTGGAAAAAGTCACAATAAAGAAATCTGATGCTAAATGTTGAGTAATAAAGATTCAAGGAAGCAAATTTACTGTTTCTGTCTTGATATTTAGCTCTTTAATCCACTTTGATCTTAGTTTAGTGCATGGTGATAAATGTATGGGTCTAGTTTTAATCTTTGGCAGGTTGAAATCCAGTTTTTCCAACACCATTTATTGAACAGGCTATCTTTTCTCCAATGAGGGTGGTTGGCTTCTTTGTCAAAGATGAGGTGGCTGAGTATGTCTGGAGTTGTTTCTGCATCTTCTAATCTATCCCACTGATCCTCAGGTCTGTTTCTTTGCCAGTA